ACTCAACATTTCCCAACATTTTACAGCATCAAAAATTTGACAAAGTCAAAGTAAGAAGCCCTTACTTCTTTCTACCAGAAGATGCAAAATTTGTTTTGTTTAGGGTTTTTTTTTTTTTGGTGGTGCAGGCAGCAAAACCAGAGAAGACATCTGCAAGGCATGTGCTGTATCATATAGTGACCTCCCAAGTCGCTCATCACTTTTCTTTTTTACAATTCATAACATTCATTGATTGACTGATTTGCATGTCTGTATTTAATACTTTTAAAGAAATTTAAATAATATGAAAAAAGAATCAGAGACAGTGGGAAGCGCACTTTCCTTGCACATGACTGACCTGGGTTCAATCCCTAGCAACAAATATGATTCCCTGAGTCTACCAGGAGTGATCCCTGAAATGTAGAGCCAGAAGTAAGGCATGAGCACCGCTGGTGTGGACACAAAACCAGTAATGATATGATGATGATGATGATGATGATGATGATGATGATGATGCTATGGGAGAATATTAGCACTGTAGCACTGTCCTCCCATTGTTCATCGATTTACTCAAGCGGGCACCAGTAACATCTCCATTGTGAGACTCGTTGTTACTGTTTTTGGCATATCAAATACGTCACGGCAGCTTGCCAGACTCTGCCAAACTTCCAAGCACCAAGTGGAAACTACCTGTACCCCCGGGGGATCCCACCCTGTTCCCAGTGTCTCGCAGGTGATTTCAGGTCAACTGGATGGTGATGCCCCTGACAGCAGACCGGTGTGAGCTGGGTGCCAGAAGGGGTACACAGAGGTGCGATGGGGCAGGCAATGGCACCACACACACACCTGGGTCATCAGGAAAAGCACCTGCCCACACTCCAGGTGGAGCCAGGAGAGGCAGCGGTGACCAGAAGGGCTGCAGGAAGGTGCTGGTTTGAGTACATGATTCCCTAATCCCCTGCCTCCCCAAATCCTCTGGTTCTGCCCTCCCCAACCCTCCCCCCACAAAGGGATTAGGGGGTTTCATGGACAAGACGAGGGGCTGCCGTGGCTCCTGAATCAAATCTCCTGGCACGAGGTAGGGCCCAGTGCCTGTGCCACTTGTGGTGCCAGGGATGGAACCAAAATTGGCCACATGCAAGGCAAGTGCTCTACCCACTGCCTTAGTGCTCCAGCCTGAATCATGTAAATTGTTCTCTAGATAAATATACAAACACAAGTGTGGATGGACTCGTAGCCTCTTGAACACGTGTGTTGTGGTTGTTGGGAATATTGGGCAAAAGTAATTTTTGTCATTGCCACACGTTTGCGAGTACTGGGGCACCATTAGGGTCTTGGGTTCAGACAAGAGGCCGCTTGAGTTTCTTCAGCCTCCGGGGTATGAACGGTCTGTAGGATCCTGCTTCAGGCAACTCTGGGGCCACTTGGTGACTGACCGGTGGCATTGTCACTGAAACGTGAAGAAAGGAGAAATTCTGTCCACTTGGTAGTCGCACAAGATGGGATTCTAGCTGCTTTTAAATGTTTTTCATCATCTTTTGATTTTTTTTGAAATTCTTGGACGTAATTAACAAATGTGTTCAGCCTGTTACTCAGCCCCCAAGAAATGTGTTTGCCTTGCCGGTGCCAAGCCTGGAGACTATGGCGGAGCGCGGGGCCGGAGTCTGCCCGGAGACCCAGCTGAAGCCTCTGTGCCCTGTGCACTGGCGCTAGGCTCCTCTGCAGCACGTTGTCAGTGCCTTCCGCCTTTGCCTTCAGAAAGTCTCTCCCAGCGCTCATTTCCTCGGCCTCCTCGCAGGCCAGTTTCACTGAGCGAGGCTGCCGGAAACAGAGCTCCTGGACCCAGAGAATGGGGGACCAGGGAGAATATTAAGTAATAAAAATTTGAAAATATATAGCACTGTCCTCCTATTGTTCATCGATTTGTTCAAGTGGGCACCAGTAATGTCTCCATTGTGAGATTTGTTGTTACTGTTTTTGGCATATTGAATATGCCACAGGGATCTTGCCAGGCTCTGCCGTGGGGGTGGGATACTATCAGTAGGTTGCCTGTCTCTCTGAGAGGGATGGAGAAATCGAATCCGAGTCGGCCGTGTGCAAGGCAAACTCCCTACCTGTTTTGCTATTGCTCCAGCTAGATGTATGAAAATGTGTATGAAAATATGTACACATTATCGCTCCACTGATATGTATGAAAATATGTACATTTTTGAAATAGTATTTTTAGTTTATGAACTTTGCTGTAGCATGCTTTCTTTCCATGTCTCCTCTTTATGGATGAAGAAAACCAAAAGACGGGTGATTAGGTGATTTGCTCAAGGTTTTTGAGCTCACAAATGTTAAAGATGTGTTCAACATTTATCATTCTGGGGGCTGGAGCAATAGCACAGCGGGTAGGGTGTTTGCCTTGCACGCGACCGACTCGGGTTTGATTCCCAGCATCCCATATGGTCTCCTGAGCATCACCAGGGGTAGTTCCTGAGTGCAGAACCAGGAGTAACCCCTGTGCTTTGCTGGGTGTGACCCAAAAAGCAAAACACAAAAAAAGGAAAAGATTTATCATTCTAGGCTAGGGATGTAATTCAGTGGTAGAGTGCTTACCTTAAATGGTGACCCTGGGTTCCATCACTGCCACCCCACCACCTCAAACACACACTGTCAATCATTTCTGGATATAGGCAAATAGCAAACAATTATGTTGTTACCTAAATACTCAGTTTCATATCAATTATAAGTCAATAAATGATGTATTACTGAAAATAATTTAGAATGTTGAATATGTTTGCTTTGAGATCTCCCAGAAAGCAGAATCTGAGATAAGGGCCTAAAGGTAGTTTGCTCTGAGAACAGATCATAGAAACTTAAAGAAGAGAGAAGATGGAAAGTGAAACAAACATCTGTTATTGATTAGTGTTATGAGCAAACAGACTGATTGTACTGTGTCTCTTTGAGTCTCTGTATTCTTAGTTCAAGGTGTTTCCACTTTGGAGACTGAAGAAATAACCACATACCACTCCTATCTCATTTGGGATATTTTGTCAACTCCTCTATAAATCGAAATCCTTACATGTGTATAATTTTAAATATCTATAGACATCCCTTACTCATGTATCACCAAAGTTCTGGGGGAAAATGCAAGAGATGTCAGTTTTTGCATAGGGAAGGGATTACCTAATCCTAATTGTGTGAAACTTCCATGTATAAAACTGGAAAATACATGACTGAGGTTATAAAGTTAACACCCCCCCAAAAAAAAAGACCCAATACACAATTTTTCTTCTATATTTACAAGAGTAGTGTTAAACAAACTTTTTCAGTCAATAAAAAGAATTAAAAAAATAGTAAAATAACGATTGCCTTCAAGTTTATGGTGTATTGGAGTGGGTGATAGATGTTGAAAAAATAACATCAAAATCTTGGGCAGTGGGACCTGGCTGCTCAGAGAAAGTCACTGATATTCCACCTGAAACAAAGGATCTGGGAGAGTCTAGAGAAGAAATTGTGGCCTGGACTTGATCATCACTGTATCAATATCATTCTGCTGTTCATTCATTTACTCAAGCGGGCACCAGTAATGTCTCTATTCCTCCCAACCCTGAGATTTTAACAGCCTCATATTCTTCTTTCCCAATGATTGCAGACTCTTTCAGGGTCAGGGGAATGAGACCTGTTATAGTTGACAGGCTCTGCCCGTGCAGGCAGGGTACTGTTGGTTGCTTGCTGGGCTCTCTAAGAGGACTTGATCATGAGTTTGTTTAAATGAGAAATGGCATGAAAAGGACATTCTAAGGTCGGCGAGGGAAGGAGAAGGAAGAAGTGCAATCTTTGGAGAACTGGGCATCTTGTGTGCTTATGAGTTTTCAAGCAGAGGGAGTTCTTGAAGATTAGGCTGAAAAAGCACATTAGTAAAGATTATGGAGGTGCAAAATGACTGACAGCTTGTAAGAAGAGAAGGGATAATGGGTACTAAAGACATCAGTAATGACCTTTGGTGGCTAAATTTAGGAGAGTTTAGGAGGTTAATATAATGTGAGAAGCCAAATGAATTTTGTTAGAGTTGAACAGAATTGAATATGATTTTAGAAAGGAAAGAATAGGGAGGAAGAAAGGCAGATCAACTGAGGGTGGAAAACTGATGTAATATAATCTCCAAGAGAAGTGGCAGTGTGTGAACTATAATCTAGGGGATACAGTGGGAAATGCCGGCCATATAAAGTTACAAGGGTTTAGAACTAGTTATTCCACCTGCTTAACAACGGTGTGAAGGTGAATGCTTCAGTTATCCTCTCTAAAGCTCAAAATCTTCATCTGAAATGAAGTTAAAAATAGGCATCGCATAAAAGTTTTGTGAGAGGAAAGAGCCCAAATGTCCGTTGATGAATGACTACATAGTAAAATGCAGTGCATTTAATATATGTATATAATGAATGCATATATACACAAAGACACAAAGTATTCAGAATAAATGAAATCCTGATAGCTCAGACAATACTAAAGAACCTTAAAAACATTATACTAAGTGATTATAAGCAAGGTACAAAAGTAAAATGAGATTTTATTTATCTGAAATACATATAATACAGAAAATAAAATGGCGATTACTACTAGCTATAGGGTGTAATGAACTAGGAATGTGTATAGTTTAATGTGTAAAGTTTAAGATTATGTAGAATGTGTGGATATGTATTAAGGCAAAAGCTACACAGCAACTTGAATATAATTAATGTCATTAAGATGTACACTTGAACTTAAAATAGTAAAATATCACAATAAAAATAGTTGTTAATGGAGAACTAAAATGGGAAGTACCTACCAGTAATACAATTCATAACAGATAGTGGTTAGAATTATCAATTAATATGCATCAAGATACTAATGAGTGTGGTAATTAGAAAATAAGTGGAGTATCCTAGAGAAAAAATCAAGATACCTCTTCTTTTTTTTCATGATTACCATTTTAGTTGCAATGTGTGAATATACATATTCACATAAACTTTAGATGTCAAAGAATCAAATCCCAGAAAAATATGGAACACGTCACAAGTTTGTGCGTCCTCTTTGCACAGGAGTCTTGCTAATCTTCTCTGTATCGTTCCAATTTTAGTATATGTGCTGCCGAAGAGAGCACAAGATGCCTCTTCTTACAGGAAAGAATTGGGTACGTATTTGAGTCCATTTTAGATAAAGGGGAAGAAGGTGTAAGAAGCTGCTATCTGGTAGAGCTCTTCTTTTAATGGAGGAGTAAAGGCTGAAGGTGAGGTTGGGGTCAGGGAGAAAATTTCAGCTCTATGAAACAGCTGCTGTGAGTGGGAAAGGAAGCAGACAGGGGGAGAATGAAAGAATTGCCAAGTAACAGAGGGGTTGGATGTATTAAATTTGTAATGGAGCCAGTGAGCATGGCTATGTCATTTTCTCTAGCAGTTCTTGGCAACACAGAAATAACCTTCAGAAACAGGCAGTTGGATTGATTTAGGGTATGGCACTGGCAAGACAGTTGCGGTCAAAAGTTAAAGAGTTGAAAGAATAGAAAGTTCTCTTGAGAATACAATTTAATTGGCTGACCATGTAGTCCAGACAGCAGAGGAATGAAACCAACCAGTAGGAATTGAGAGACTGATTGGAGACCTAAAATTAACCAAGGGGAGAGTGGAGAGACAGTATAGCAAGTAGGGCGCTTGTCTTTCACTTGGCTATACCCGATTCAATCCCTGGAATCCTATATTATTCCCCCAGTACTTCTAGGAATGATTTCTGTTGCAGAGCCACGAGTAACCCCTGAGCTTTGCTGAATATGGCCTGAAAACCAGAAAGCAAATCAAGAAAGGAAAAATAATTAAGGGGCTAGAGGTTTTAAGTAGAGAAAAAAAACAGTAAACCCTGGACACTATAATCAGAATTTAGAAAGCCTGAGTTCAAGATTTGGGAGCAAGAGTTTTAGAGACCAAACATACTAGAGGCAAGTGAGTGTACATGAAGTGAAAGAGTGATTCTCAAAGTTTAAGTGCATCAGCATTGCCTGGAATTCTTTAAAGAACTCTATCACGGTGTGCTCACTCCCATAGACAGCTTCAAGACACTGCCCCCGAAGAGGCTGAAGAAACCAAGAAGAGGTAGCCATCTGTTCTTGCCAGAAAACAGGCCAGCAGTGTGGGTTGTCACTTTGCACCGCTCCCCATCGTTGCTGACTACATCCAAGCACTTCCCAAATAAAACAAACTATCTCACTTCTTAGTTACAAGCTATCTCACTTCTTAGGTTCTCACTTACCTTGGGAGCCTGGATCTGTGTAGAATCATATTTAGAAACTGGTATAAACTTTCATAACAGTCCTAATATATCCAGACATATTTTAGGGCAGTGCCTCTCAAAATAAAGTCATCAATTCAGTTGTTTATACCTTGTCCTGGAAGTTCTTAGAAATCCAATCACTTAATCACTTAACTTCCCATTAGTCGTCAATTTGCTCAAGCGGGCGCCAGTAACGTCTCCATTTGTCCCTGTCGCATGCTAGTGTAGCCCAATGGCATCTGTTCGCTCTGGGAACATGAAGGGCCTCAAAACGATCGTTCATGATCTTGACGAAGAAGTCTGACCATCTGGTAGGTGGGCGGCCACGCGGTCTCTTGACATCCCGTGGAATCCAATCAGTAACAGCTCTAGTCCAACGGTCGTCTTTAAATCTCATTACGTGACCAGCCCATCTGATTTTCGACACCTTGGCAAATGAGACAGCGTCCCTGATCCTTGATCATCGATGGATGTCAGAACTCCGGATTCGTTCTCTCATTTGAGTGAAACGTGATATTCCAAGCATAGCTCTTTCTATTCTTCTTTGGGAGACCTGAATGGCGTTCTCATCTTGTTTGCGTAGGGCCCAGGTCTCTGAGGCATATATTAATGCAGGAAGAACAGTGGAATCAAAAAGATGTGCCCGGAGCCGGAGGTTCTTCGTCCTCTTAGCTATTTCTTCGACGTTCTTGAAGGCGTTCCAAGCCGCTCTCTTCCTCCTGCACAGCTCGGGTGCCAGGTCATTTGTCATGTTGACCTCTCGACCTAGGTACACATAGCTGTTGCATTCGGAGATGGTCGTTCCATTGAGAGCCAATGGAGCGTCAGGAACAAGGCTGTTTCTCATAAACATTGTCTTCGTAAGATTCAGCTGTAGTCCTACCTTTCCACACTCAAGGTCAAAGTCGGCCAGCATTTGTGCCGCTTGGCTGATGTTTGGTGTTATTAAAACAATGTCATCAGCAAAGCGGAGGTGGTGTAGTTGCCGACCATCTATCTTCACTCCCATTCCTTCCCATTCCAGTCGTCGCATGATGTTCTCGAGGGTGGCACTGAAGAGTTTCGGTGAAATGGTATCACCCTGCCGCACCCCTCTCTTGACATCAACAATCACTTCTTTGTAGAATGGTGAGATCCTGGTAGTGAATCCACAATACAGCTCACGGAGGATCCTGATGTATTGGGCTTGAATGCCCTGATTGGCTAGGGCTTCAATGACCGCTTCCGTCTCAACAGAATCAAAGGCCTTCTTTAAATCAATGAACGTTAAGCAGAGCGGCATCTTGAACTCCCGAGAAACCTCAATGAGCTTGGTTATCGTGTGGATATGGTCGATGGTGCTGAAACCTTTGCAGAACCCTGCTTGCTCGCATGGTTGTCCTTCATCTAGTGTTCTGCTAATCCTATTCAGGATGACTCGAGTGAACAACTTGTAGATGACAGACAATAGGCAGATCGGGCGATAGTTGCCAATGTCATGGATGTCTCCCTTCTTGAACAGTAGTACGGTCCTGCTGGTTTTCCATTGGGACGGAACCTTGCATTCAGACAGGTAGCGAGTGAAGAGCCGAGCCAGTGTATTGATGAGTACTGACGGCAGGTTCTTCAGGTGTTCAGGTCTGACCTTGTCTGGGCCGGGTGCTGTTTGTTTCTTTACCGACGAAATGGCGTGTCGGATTTCGGAAGGGAGAACATTGGGAACAACATATCCATCCTGTGGAATTTGGTATGTCAGCAAGTGGACATGGCTATCGAAGAGATTTGAGTAGAAGTCATGGATAATCTTCTCCATTGCCGTTCTGGAGGATGTGATGGATCCATCAGGACGTCGGAGGGCAGTCATCTTGGTCTTATAGTTGGCGAAGGACAGGCGGGCGTTACGAATACTTTTCCCGGCTTCTGCCGCATCTACCAGTACTTCTGCTCTTCTCTCTTTGAGGTCTTCCTTGATCGCATCTCTGCACTGCTTTGCAAGCTCGGACGTTAGCTTGCGGTTGCCTGAGGCATGCGCCAAACCACGCTGACGAATTAGCTCAAGAGTTTTCGAAGATAGGCGACTTTTTGTGGCTATCTCTCACGCTGGCGAATTAGCTCAAGAGTTTTCGAAGATAGGCGACTTTTTGTGGCTATCTCTCTCTTGGCGTTCCTCGCACATTCATGGAGGTGCTGAACCAGTCGATCGTATTCCTCGTCAATGTTGTCAACAATGGCATCTTCCCATGTTGCCGCAATAGTACCAAAGAGTTCCCAGTTGGTGGTCATTCTGGGAGTTCTCTTTTTGAACTTTGCAGCCCTTTCTCCCCGCTCTGTGAAGTAGAATTTTGCACGAAGGAGACGGTGGTCCGATCCCGTTCGAAATTTTGGGACAATAGCAACATCAGTCAGGCAAAACCGTCGATTGAATATGATGTGGTCTATTTCGTTGTGGAATCGTCCACCGGGAGACTCCCATGTCCATCATTTAGATTCTGCCTTCTGGAACTGTGAGTTACCATGAATGGTCTTGGTAGACATGATGAACTCAGACAGTCTCTCACCCTGTTCATTCCATTCTAGGCCATGGGTCCCGATGTGAAGTTCTTCAGCTGATCTTCTTGGTCCTATCTTGGCATTAAAATCACCTACAATGATCTTGTAGAAGGTGTGGTCTTCTTTATAGAACTTCTCTAGCTCCATGTAGAACTTCTCTATTTCTCTTTCATCATAATGAGATGTTGGTGCGTAGACAACGAAGATAGAAACTGCAGGCAGTGAGCCACATCTATTCAAATGTAAACGTCCGATTCGGGTTGTTAGGCATTCGAATGAATCAATGCTCTTGGCCAAGTTTGTGTTGACAAGGACACCGACGCCTCCAACACCTCTTTTATCGCATGTTCTGAGGAACAATTCTTCTCCAGTGTCGAAAACGGCATGGTGAGATTCGTGCCTTCTTGTCTCGGTCAGACCAATGATGTCGTACTTGATTATTCTCGCTTGTACCATCAGGTCCTCGATGGATGCATCTGATGCTAGCATACGTGCATTGAAAGTGCAGACGATCATTTTTGTCTTCCTTCGTTGTGGCAGCCTAGGTCGGCCTTGAGATTTTGTCGGCCTCTCCTTTCTCATCCTTCTCAGTGCTGCCATGTCGGTGAAGCCTTCAGGGTCAGGTGAATGAGACCAGTTGTAGTTACTGGTTTTGGCATATCGAATAAACAGCGGATAGCTAGCCAGGCTCTTCCGTGCGGGCGGAATACTCTCGGTAGCTTGCCAGTCTTTCCGAGAGGGATAGAGGCTTTTGGGATGACCTCTAATCACCCTTGTAGGTGTTACCATATTTGAACCCTATCAAATATGGTACAACAATTCCAGAAGATGGGTATTTAGTGCCTTATGATGTGTTGCGCGGCCGCAAGCGGCCGCGCGGGTCCGGAAAGCATCCTAGAGTGTGGAGACGGCTGGGACACTACTTCCACTACCCAGCCGTCGCCACACTCCTAGAAATCCAAATTCTCCAGAAATCTTGTACATTTCCCAGGAGTGGTAATCATTGCTTCCAGTTTCTTATAGATTGATGCTTCAGGCATATGGTTGACTGGTGGCCTTATAATCTGATACTATTACCAAAAGAATCTAACAGGTTCTCAGAGATGAATACCTTGGAGCTAACTGCACATGAAATGTAAATATGATGTCCAGTTACTAACATCTGAATTTCCAGAGACAGTTTCACTCATTGTTGCTTTTCACATCAACCCTTTGCAAATTGCTCTAAAGATCCATTCATTCTGCATGCTGTTGCTGAACCTGGGGGAAAAAGAAAATTGATCATTTTGAAGGACAGTTCATCAGATATCC